CTGTCTTACCAGCCTTCCTGATGCTCACGTTAAACCACTAGCACTTCCGCCAGTGTTGGGAAAATAGGGAAAAGTGGCAGTTTTCCCAAACTCCTAAAGATTCGGAGGTCAGGCCCAACGAGGACTGCCATTGATAAATCTGATCGGCGGTCGTCACTTCGTTTCAGCCTCCGAAAAAGTCAGAGGACCAACCGAGGCCCGCTATTTTCCCACGCGGCAAAGGTACTAGTGGTTTAAGCTGCGATTGTGGGAAAGTGGCTGGCTGGTCCACCCTTGCAACTGCGGTTAAGGCATGCCATTGGACACAACAGCCCACTCTGACCCCCTGTGGTCTGCAGCCTTGACAGTGTTGTCACCTACACAACACCTAACCCTCATGACCAGGAAAGGGCTATTGTTGTCGCCTACAACACCTAACCCGTCATGACGAGGAAAGGGCTGTTGACCCCAGGGAATGTCCCGGGGTTGAAAGGGAGGAGTTCCCTGGCATACAGTGTGGCCTGAAAGGTTATGGTGAGGGGCCCTGGGGCTCAATGGCCACTTTTTCTTCTTTTTTTAAACCCTTCTTCCCACACGGAGAGCCCTATCTATTCTGGGGGGCAGCAGTCCGGTTGCTTATCACTGGCAAGCATGTAACAGAATTCAGAGATGAGATGAGGGAAGAGAAAAAGACCAGGACGGGGGGGAGAGAGAGGGGGGGGGGGGAGAAATAGAGAGGGAGGGGGCGGGAGGAATAGAGAGGGACGGCTCTGTGAGGCTTACTTATCTCCCCACTCGGGTCTCTCATAATGGCCTGAAAGCCTTCGGACAGTAGTACCCAGTTGCACTTTGTGGGGGCCCCGGGGGCCGGTATCAGATCACAGGCCTGCCCCTCTACCGTCTTCCCCCGAATACAACGTACGGTCATTATAGCTGTATTTGAGGCATCTTTCAGTCTAGATACAGCTATAATGTCGGTACATTGTACTCGCGGGAAGAAGGTAGTCTCTAGGCCTCACAGTTAGTTTCACCCTCCAGTCTCTTAAGTCCTTCCTGTAAATTCCTCTTACCCTCACTTCCTCTAGCCTATCAGTTACACCCCTCTCTCCCCCCCCCCCTATCCCCTACCTACCTACTTCTGCCATCTAAAGCCGCTACCCCCCTTGTCCAGGTCCTCTTTCCACCATCCTCTTCAGCCTTTCCAATCCGAACTCCCCCTCTCTACATCCCATCTTCAGCTTACTGAACTAGTCAAACTCTCCCAATTAATCTGCCCCTAAATGCGCCCCCCCCGCCCCCTAACATACGCCCCTTCTAAGACCCTGAACACTATAGTACCAAAAGACCTGGAGTCTACTCGTCGTCATTTACAGCATATGTCTGTTCTACGACTCTGTAGGGTATAGCTAAAGACCAGTCTGCCTGTCCCCGGGTGCTTTGTGACCAGCCTAGGTGGGGGGGGGTAGCCCCCCCAAATTCTCGAGAGTTCCTCGCCTTCCGCCTGCGGCTCTGCAAATCCACCAGGATGGCTATTCGTAGATTCTCCACGGCCCCACTTCTCACTGCGGGCATGGTTACCTCCTTGCCCTGGAGGAGTCTATCATTTCTAAGCATCCATATAGCCCAAAGCACCGCCGTCTTGACCACCTCCCTCCGAGACCAAGAGCCGATACTTATCCCCCCTGTCCACTGTCATTGGCGTCGTTGTGATGA